CAGAACACCAACTTATTGCACATTTCCTATTTCTCCCTTATAGATCTAGTTAGCATTTTCATAGAAATGTAGATGGAGGTGGATATAAAGGAGTATTTAAAGGGATTTAGAACCTCCTGCCAGAAGGAAAGAGCTCATATTCCTTATGAAGCATGTGGGACAGGTCCAGCAGTACCCCACCCCGCCTAAGTACAGACTGAAGGAAGAGCTTTACAGTCCTCCCCATCACCTTCATGGCAGTCTGTGTCAGGTGCTACAACTTTGATTTGGACTGTGTGGAGAGACCGCCGAACCAAGCATCATCCCAAACCTGATTAAGCTCTCCATCACTGCCTGATGGAATAAAAACATGAAGTTCTGACTGACAAAAAACAGCCTCAGTTTGCCTAAAAAATAAATCCTTCGCTGTAAACTGCAACATAGGTGTAATTTATCATTGCAGGAAAGTGAGACTGCCGGAAAAAAAAAGGCCTCTAAATCACTTCCTGGTGAGAAAAAACGAATCAGCTCCTAAAAAAGATCTGCTCCTTTGTTTCTTTATCTTTTCCAAACAGAATAAAGCTGTTTGCAGCCGGATCCACAACGCATTGTTACTTCCTGGAAAGAAGTCGATTCCTTTTGCAGGTGTGAAAAAAATAACTGCACTATAAATTAGTCTGATTATCAAATTCATGGCTTCAGCTCTTCTACTGCAGTTAGGAAAAACTATTTACTCCACCCAAAGCTGTATAAAGTATTTGCACCCTAAGGCTGGACAATATATTCCAAATACATTATTATTGCAACAACAGCTTGAGTAATATTCATGTATCTAAGGTGGAGGTCTTCAGCGGTGGTCCACAGAGGCTCTTTTTAATATTCCCCCTTGCATTTTTTTCCACTAATTGAATTGTCTTTAAATCCACATTAACATGAATTCAACAGACCGTAGTAAACAGATAAATGGAGGCAGAAGATGTCTTTCAGTCATCAATGCTCATATTCAGGGATATGCAGGAGCTTTTTCAAGCTGGGCACCGTTTCATTCACAACACCTGTCCCATCAACCAGGAATGCGAATCAGAAATGCTTTAATAATCCCAGGGAGAAATTACTTTGGTTACATTACTCCATATGTAATAGTGAGTATAGGACCAGTTTGTTATAACACAGTTTCATACAATAAATATAATTAGGGGGTCTAATCCATCTTGCCATGAGATTCAGAGTCCTTGGCCTAGAAAACGTTGAAGACCCCTGCTCTAAGGCGTGCCTGGGGTGTAGTTTGAGCTGGTAATTTTATTATTTAAGTACAGGCTTTATTTACAGGTCTAAAGGGGAACAGGTAGACATAGAAAGGTGCAGTAAGAGTCAGAAATGGGGATATGAAGCGGCTTTTTATTTCTGATCTATTCCTGGTATACTGGCTTAATGAGCTAAATACATGATTAGAAACGGGTGACAGAAAATAAGAGTAAAATCAACCAAAGAAAACCTAAAGAATAGAATCAGGGAATATAGAGACCTGTGATTGTTACATATTGGCTCTGTGTATGCACCTTGATGCTCTATTTCCCTGGTTATTTTCCCTGAACAGAGATCACTAGGGTAATAAACTGTTTAAATAACACTTTATACCCTATCCTAACATGATTAATAAATGATAACAAACATGGCTTCTGATACAGTAAAATAAAAGTAAACTTATCAGGACAGTATGGAAGAACCAAAGTGTAAGTTCCATTTATATCTGTTAAGAACTTCTAAGTAACCATTTTCCAAACAGCTTTATTCTCTCTAACCATTTTTTAGGATATAACTTTCCAGTTAAATTTGTACTTTTCCATCATTTTGTCTGGAAGCACAGTTCCTCACTGGAGCAGAAAGCAGCCCTCCTCTGTGAGGACCTGAGGCCTGCTTCCACGCATGATCAGCCTGATCCACTCAGCTGTCCAGCCCACGTCACCGTGGAGGAAAAAAATCCGGTCACACCGGTTCTGTCACGCAAACCACCACAGGTTACAAACTGGAGCTTAAACCTGGACTAAGCTCTGAGTTTATGAGGAGCAACAGTTAAAACCAACTCAAACCAGTCCAGAGAGAGCAGGGCAGGAGGCGAAGGGGAGTTAATCCTGGTCTGACTGTACATTTTTAGTTATATCTATGTTTATTTTCAAAGCATAGAAAATTATTTCGGGGACAGTAAGCTGAGGCTGCAGCTACAGCTCCTGTTATCCGCACAGAGGATCAGGAGCAGCTTTAAAGGCCACTCAGCGTCCAGTAGCTTAGGGCTAACTTCTTAGCTAACCATTTAAATGCTTCTCCGCTCCCAGTCCGGTTAAACAACAGTGTAAAAGCTTACCGCTCTCACTAGTTCATGAAGAACCCACCCGAGTCGCCACTTAGTCGAAAGGAGTCAAATAAAGTCACATTTTATTGCATTTGCAGCAGAAACCTTCAACGGGACGGGTGTCTTGATCACATTTGTCAACAGACTGGGACGAGGCTACGCGCATGCGCAGTTTGGACCGGAAGAAGAAACATTTCCGTGGAGTTAGAGAGAGAGAGATATGTTATAAAGTTCATTTTCATGACTCCAAAATTTATCTCAAGGGGATATATGTGAAAAATAAAGCCCCCTGGTTGGTTGTCGTTTATTTTTATGCTAATTTCGCTTCAGTTTCTTTTGAAAACACTGTTAGAAAATAAAACCTCCAGAGGAGCACACCTGGGTGACATCCGGTTTAATTTTCAAACTAAAGTAGGGTACTATAAATCAGGGGGCTTTGACGTTTTCCAGGCCAAGGACCCCCAGACAGATGGAGGGGGACCCCCTAATTATATATTTTTTATGAAATTGTGTTATATCAAACTGGTCCTATAGTCACTCTATTACATATGGAGTAAAGTAACTAAAGTAATTTCACACTGGGATTATTAAAGTATTTTTGATTCTTATTCTGATTCCTCGTTGATGGGACGTGTGTTGTAAATGAAACGGTGCCCAGCTTGATTGTGCATTGATTTTCAATTCAATTGAGTTTATTTAAATACCGCCAAATCACAACACGTCATTTCAAGGCACTTTACAGTTCACCAGATCATACAGTCAAATTGATTCAAAGTTTTCTATCTAAGGAAAACCAGTTGATTGCATCGACTCATTGACTCTTCAGCAATCCCTCACACTAAGCATGCTTGTAGCGACAGTGGAGAGGAAAAACTCCCTTTTAACAGGAAGAAACCTCCAGCAGAACCAGGCTCAGTGTGAGCGGCCATCTGCTGAGGCTGACTGGGGTTCGAGGAGACAGAAGCAGAAACAAAAAGCAGCTGTAAAAGGCGGCCCCGTCCAGGAAACACACAGCCAGGCAGACGAGCTCCGAGCCAGCTCCCATGTCAGTGGATGCAGAGAGCAAATTCCAGTAATTGATGACTGAAAGACATTAATGTAACGTTAATGTGTATTTAAAGACATTTCAATTAATGGAAAAAATTACAGGGGGGAATATAAAAAAAGGAATACAAACCAAAACTTTCGGGACCCCCATGCTCTATGGACTAACTGAGACCTTGAAGACCTCTGCTTGAAAACATTCATCACACATAATTACAAAGTCTGAACAGTTTTCTTCCTTCAGAATGCAATGACAATTGGCATTATTTTTTGTTTGTTTGTTTTATTACAAAATAAGGCCTCTCTGTTTACTTTCTTTTCTAAATCTACCTTTGTTGACATATTGCTTAGAAAATTAAACAAGGCAGTGATTCAACTAGCAGCAGTTATAACCAGGAAAAACAGCACAGTTAGTGAACAGTAAAATTTTAAGCACAAAAAAATAAACACATAGGTGTTTACTGAGAAAGTCCATAGTTCCACTGTGTTGTTAATAAACTCATGGCTAGATGATATTTGGTTCAGGTCAAGATAATTATAAAGAGAGGTAAAAAAGGACTGCAATAATAAATGCAAGTCAATAATGAAAATAAAGTAATGAGGATAAAAGCTTAGTGTTGATAATGCTCCTTACAATCATTACAAAGTGCCATCATAGCCTCTGTGTGCTCCTTGTTCAAGTATCTAACAGTGTTACCCTCCATTTATGTATGCAGTGTTTGCGTGTTGCCAGTATTGCACAAATAGTTGTGAGTAGTACATTTTTTGGAGGATCCATGGAGGAAAGTGCCAGAAGTGCAATGGGGACCCCAGAGTGGGCCCAGTTCTGCTTCCAAACAATGTAAACCTCACCTGAACCGCCTAGTGACAAAAACGTCCCAATCATCGATCCCACAGTCAATGCAAAGCTGCTTTTCTCAGAATGAAACAGGCACCAGATACGACTGAACCATCTGGCAGCTCTCAGACCACAGAGAATTGTCTTCTTTGAGATGTCCAGAAAGATAATCAACAGGTCAAAGAGTCACAATATGTTTCTTTGTTTTATAAAATCTTGTTTTTTTCCAAATGGGCTGCATAGTTGCACAGTTTGTAGCTCTTTTGCCTACAGCAAGAAGGTCTGGATTTCAATTCCTGGCCTGGGGTCTTTCTGGGTGGAGTTTGCATGCTCTACCCATCCATGTGTATGTTCTAAGGCTTCCTCCCACAGTCCAAAAACATGACTGCAGGTTCATTGGTGTCTTTAAATTGTCTATTGTTGTGTGAGTCCATGGATGTATATATCTGTTCTGTGGTAGACGGGAGACATCTCCAGGGTGTAGTCCACCTTTCAACCATAGGCTGAGGGAGGAAGCGGTCCCACTGAGACCATAGCAGGAAAGTGGAAGAAGATGGAAGGTTGGATGGTTATCAGATGTTCCAAGCCAGGGGGGATTCCTGCTCTCATAGAAACATCTACACTAATGATGATTGGTTAATCCCTGCAATTGAGACATATTGGATTAACAAAGTCCTTCTGATTAACACAGCCCTGTTTATGATCTGACCAGCAGTACCTGGTCTATAATCAACCCTCAGCTTCTTTGAAAGCAACCTTCTATGGCTCTGTGGTGGCGTCAGCCCTCCTCTAAGCTGTTGTCTGCTGGGCCCCTGACAGTGCAGAGCGGGACAGAAAGAGACTGAACAAACTGGTGAGAAAGACTTTTAGACCCTGTTTGTAAAAAGGAGCACAACCGCAGGTCATTCATCTCTGCTGCAACCAGACTCTACAATGCGACAATACAACGGCAATAATCTTCCTTTGGCACATTCTTCTCCTTTGACTATTTGAGCTGATGTACCAAGTTAATTTCTCCACTGTGAGATCAATAAAGCCATTCAATCATTCAATCAATCAATCAATCAATCAATCAATCAATCAATCAATCAATCAATCAATCAATCAATCAATCAACAAGGTTCTGTTTCCATATAATCTGGCACAAATGTGGTGAACCAGATTATACTGGAATAAAACCTGTCTTTTAATGGCAATATTGGAGATTTCTTTTAAATCTCTGATTTTGAATTGTATGGATTCTTTTTAAAGGACTGATCAATTGATTCTGCTGATTCAGCTCTTATCCCAAACTTCACCAGCTTGCTGATTTTTAATCCTTGGACTTTGTATTTCTGGCAAGCACATAATGAGTAATAATCCACGACTGTATTGTGCTAATAAGGCAATAGCTCCTTCCACATACTCTTTGCTTAAGAGGGTTTACCTTATTGCAAGGACTTGATGATTTCTAGTCACCAACAGATTCCTGATGGGCGTAACTTCAGTCTACATGAAGCCTGTTTTTGTTCTAGTGCAGATTTTTTTTTCTTTTGAAATTAAGGCCATTATTGCTGCACAACTTCTTTGGCTAATTAGTAAAGTACATTTTTTTTTTATGCACTAATAATAACCATTTATCCAATATTTTCCCTTACAGGGACATTTCTTTTCCTTATTAGAAGCTACTTCCAGGTTGCTTTACACCTTTTACATCAGTGACTGGATTATTCTTGGTAAACCTGAGTTTCTGATTGCAGCTGAAGTTCCACAAATGCTCTCAGCCCTTTCACCCTATGAGACCTGACCTCTAGGCCTCTTAATCTGTCTTGCTAACTCTATAAAATCCACTAACTCCGTAGACACCTGTTTTATCCTGAAGAAAATTAAAGTTTAAAGATTTTTCCATACAAATGAAAATATTCCAATCTGTCAGTTGATCCAAATAATCTATTTCCTGCAAAACGCTTAGATATAAGCATAGAACAAAAAAGTTGTCTTTCATTAGTATCTGTGTGAGGGCAGCAGTTATAATGCTGGCCGCTAAGGAGCCTTAAAGGCTTAGTTCAGTCCGTCTAAATCTATACACTAAAAACCCCATATGAAGTGACTGGAGAGTCGTTTGGATCTGATTCTCGTAAACAGCTAAATTAAATGTGAATACGAAGGCAAGAAAAACCATCAAAATAAAATGTAGTGAAGAGATAAAGCTTTGAGACTTAAAACAGTTATTTTATTTCAAATATATCACTTATTTTCAGTAAAATATTTTTAAAGAAAACATATAGTTATAAATCACACAAAGTACTCATTATAAGTTTGACCAGTTGGGTTTTCCACATGAAGCTTTGCAACAATTCAAGTAAAGAAACTGTTCAGTTACTTAACCTAAGATGGATGTTTGTTTGAAAGAGGCACAAAGTGAAAAACAGAAGCTTTCAGACTGTTTCCATGTAATCACCACTCATGGAAAAAAAATGAAACATTTCTCAGACTGTTTCCTGAAAAAAGTTGGTATTACGTCCCGTTTTGATGTGTTTATTAATAAATATTTTAGCATTAAACCCAACATCAGCAGGTGAAACACAAACAGACAACCTAAAAAGCTAAATAAAGGGGAGGTGCTGAACAGAAGTGCATGTAGTTTGGGTTCTGCAGCGCTGCAACAGACACCTAGATGGAGATGTTGGTACGGGTCTGCTAACAATAGGTTTTCCAATCTAAATAACTTTTTTTGATAAAGTATTTTTTTTAAATGTGCTGTATAATGCTAAAAGCAAGACGCAAATAGTCATTACATTTACGAGGCCCTTCCTGGATTACTGCCCTCTTACATTTGTACCTTACTTAGTCAAAAAAGGCCTCTTACTCCCTGAGATTCAACGATCAGCTGTTGCTCACTGTTGCTTTTTCCAGAGCTAATGAAGAAAGCCTTTATTTAAGCAGCTCCCTGTGTGTGGAATTTATTTTACAAAAACACTAGAAGTTGACTTAGGTTTTAATCTTAAATGCTTTTAAGTTGAAATGGCTTCAATTAACTGTCATTGTTTTAATTTATATTTTTTTTAGGTACCTGCTATTTAATTAAAAGTAATCCTCCAGCGTTTTTTAAATGTTATTACACTGTCAGAAGTACAGAGCAATGAAATGAACTCTATATTTAACCCATCCCTAGAGGAACAGTGGGCTGCCATTGTGCGGCTCCTAGGCAGCCGTGTTCGATTAAGGGGTCTTTGCTCAGGGACCCAGAGTGACATTCTGTGGGAGCGAGGCTTGAACTCAGAACCTCAGGATTCCAAGCTCTATACCCTAACCACTAGGTCACCACTCCATATTTCTGTAGCTTTGCAGGCTGCTCAGTGCCTTGCCTTTTAGCAAGAAGGTTCCGGGTTC